CCCCAAAACCCCAAAACCCCAAAACCCCAGATTATTGATAAATGATTGAATATTCCTAAATATTAGCTGGATCTAAGGAAATAGTTCCGCTTTCATTCAGATTCTCTTCTACAATAATTGGATCGGTTCTCATGTGGCCTAGGTTATCGTCTAAATAGCCTCAAGAAGGACCAGGATTTCTTTCATATTCCTTATAAATCTCATTCTGCCTGGCCATATTCTCGCCATGGTAATCAAGACTTCCATGATTCCGCTCCAAAAGGTAATTAGATGAGACTAGATTTATTGGCTGATGGTTCACTCGGTCATCACTCAATGGAAAGTCCCGTGCTGAATCTAAAACTAATTACCAATAGGTTACCTTCACGGCTTCTATTCAGCAAAGTTTCGGTTTCTTGCATCAACCTGAGCTTCTCATTTTTATCAATGTCATTAAAAGTTTTCTTTTCCTCAAAGTTAAGTCTGTGACCATCATTGTTAAGATGAGAAAACTCTTGAGACTCAAGCCTGCTTGCCTCCTCAGCATGTCTTCTACCAACCATGATGGAGTTCTGTGCCTTGAGCTGGGTATTCTCAAAGCTAAGCTCATTTATCCTCTGATTCAGGGCTATAATCTCTCTCTGCTGCTCCATGGTCAAGCTAGTCTTTTCCTTCAGGACTTCATGTAGATGCTTAATAGTGATATTAAGGACATCAATTTCTGACTTATGCTTATTAATTTCATCATCTTTGAGCTCTAGCTGTCTTGTAGCAGAGATCTGGTTGTCCTCATGCCTGAGTTCTGAATTTCTACCTCTTTCATCCTGGAGAGGCTCATTTTCAAGCTCTTGTCTGAGCTTGTCTCTAGCTGAGTTCTTAAGGAGAGTCACTTTACCCTTCCTCTTCGATTTCTTCTTTCCTTTATTCGCTTCTTCCTTGTACAATGGATGACTTTTGATATTGTCAAGATTAGGATCATAGCTGTCCTTCCTGCCAATAGAACTACTTCTTTCTTTGGACCTTTGCTTATTCCCATATATAGAGCGCTTCGCATAGCTAGAGATCTTAGATTTAGAAGTTCCTCGAGTTTTGATGAATCTCTTGGGTTCTCTAGTTCCATCTGCTCTGCTGAGGCTCCGAGCTGACTGGATGTGGATATCGAGCATCTGAGGATCAGCATTTTCAAGATCTTCAGCTTCTTCAGTGTTCTTATTGAACTGCAATGAGCTTAAGGTCTTCTGAAAAGCTTTAAACTTTGCACTAAATCTCGAACTTATCTCAGCTTTGTTCAATACAGGCAGATGAGCATCAGGAGGGACCTGGGTGAAGGGTTTAGTTAGCTTTCCATTTAGCACGCAATCGGTAAGAATCATGGCATAGAGATTTCTGTTCCTCTTCCAAGCGGGATTTGTAGTCACTTGGCATAATTTCTTTGACCATTGCTCAATTCTGATCCTCTCGTGGCGTCCAAAGTCTTGATATCTCTCCTCAACTTCTCTCATATATTGTAAAAATCTAGATTATTATTGAAAAATTGTTGAAAATAGGCTTACTTCTCATCACTTTTATCTTTAACAAATTCATCCATGAGACAATAGCGGAGTTACACTAATTTAAATTTATTCAAAAATTTCTGGAAAACAGGGGTTTTGGGGTTTTGGGGTTTTGGGGTTTTGGGGTTTTGGGGTTTTGGGG